TGGTCCGGATGGAGAAACACCAGGGAACCAGAACTGGTCCGGATGGAGAAACACCAGGGAACCAGAACTGGTCCGGATGGAGAAACACCAGCAACCAGAACTGGTCCGGATGGAGAAACACCAGGGAACCAGAACTGGTCCGGATGGAGAAACACCAGGGAACCAGAACTGGTCCGGATGGAGAAACACCAGGGAACCAGAACTGGTCCGGATGTTCTGAACCAGGCTCAGTGACATGGTCCAGAGGGAAAGGTTCTGGCCTGGGTCTCTGTTCCAAACTATCAGAACCTTCTATTGGGAAAGGTTTTGAGGCGTGGGTGCAGGGTGGGCCGGTTCTGTTCTGCAGATCCAGAAGTTCTGGTTCTGAGATGCAGAAGTGAAGCAGCTGGTTTACCATCTCTGTCCTCTTCCTCCTGCAGCAGAGCGCGGACTCCTCCGATGAGGAGACCTTACACATCGACACCGAGGCCAAGCCAGAGGTTAAAGGTCGTAACTCCAAGGTGAAGAAGAAGAGCGGGAGCGCCGCAGGGATCCTGGATCTGCTGCAGGCCAGCAAACAAGTGGGCGGGATCGACTACAACACCCACAGGTAGCCGGGTCTGAATATCAAACCAACAGGCTGTTTACAAGAAGTCAGTCAGCAGCTAGTGTTTCCGTGGCGATCCATTAGGTGCTCCGTCACCCCGGGCCTTTCCTCTGTTTGGCGGTTCTGTGATGGTCTGTTTCCACTGTGCTGAAAGGGGGGGCAGGGGTCTGGTTCTGACCAGACGCTCCGGTAGGATCAGCAGGACGGTTCTGATTAGCCAGCCACTCATTTCTAATGGCCTTAAAATAATTTCCAATAGCATTAAAAAGCATTAAAGGCACACTATGCAACATTTTTCAGTTAATTAATGTGTTCCATAATGTTTTGGATGATTAAATGAGTCATTTCAGGTTGAACAAAGGTATTCTCGGCCGCCCTGGTGGTCTGTGGGGGAAATACCGCACTTGCAATTGCAGGAGCCCTCGGCCCGCACCCACAGGCTCAGAAGTCTCACGAGAGTCGGTCTTGCTTTACGGCGAGAATTGCTACATGCCCCCAGTTAAAAGCATTCTCGTTGCTAGCACAGTGGCGATCTTTGTGCAGTTATGCTACGTTCACATCGGACGCAGCAAAATCGCATCTGCTGCTTCATTTTTACTGCTTGTACCAGTTAGTTCTGACGCGCGGCTGAAGCAGCTTTGCTGCTCTGGCTGCGCGGTGCAAAAGTGTGTCTGACGCGCTTTGGGCGGAGCTTCACTATCCTTTCTCTGCCTTGCAGCTATATTTGCTGTGATCAGTGGGAATAAAGTAGTTTTAATATGTGTTTAAGTGAGAAAATACACCTGAAAACGTAATCAGTGCCGTCAGTTCATCCAGATTACCATCCTGCCTTCCAATGTTGTTTCTGTCGGAGACGCTCAGACCCCCACATACCAGCGGTGCGCCGACAGTAGGGATCCCTTCATCAGCAGCCTCTGGCCGGGTCGCCTCCTCGCGGTTCACCGCGGCAGCTGGTAGGTGTTTTTCATCTAAATAATCCAAACTGTTGCAGCAGGATAATAAAAGCCAACATATTCTGACGGTAGATTTCTGCATTTTAAGTTAATTTAGGCGTCAATAAACTGTTTAAGAGGAGTGATCACAGCGCTGTGTCTCTCTCCCTGCATCAGATGATTAAACGCGCCCGACGGGCTGCTTCAGCTGCTCAGACGTGCTGCGCCTGCTGCTCAAAACGCGCCGCGGGACCTTTTGCTGCGCCTTGATGCACGTCAACCATTGACTTTGCATGTAAACTCGCTGCTTCTTTCGCGCCAGCTACGTCCAGTGTGAACGCAGCATTAGTCATTCGTTGCGTTCGCCTGTCTGCTAAGCTCAAAACAACCGCGCCTGGCTTGACGGAGAAACCAGGAGAACAGCTGAGCATATTTACGACAGTGCACTTTTACTTTCGCCCTCTGGGGGGAGCCTCGCTGGAAAATCAACACCGGTTGCATAGTGTACCTTTAAATTAGAGTTACTCATTCCGGTATAAACCCTGATTCAATCAGTCCAGACATCAGCACCAGAACTTTGGACCAAGATGGGCCCAACTCACAGAGGAAGAGCTTCACAGTCCGATGAGCAGCAAGACATTTTCTCTTCCTGCCTCACCAAATTTTCTCTAAATTAAAATATTTTTATTTTATCTTAATTTGCCAGCAGTTTGTCCTGATCATCATGCTAACGTTGCACTAGCTCAAATAAACGGTCTGAATTCAGCCCAGAGTTTAATGGAGAAGCGAACCTTCCCATCCAGGAGTCACTAAGGTTCCTGGATCGACGTCCAAATGTTTTCAGAAAGTCGTTTTTGCACCTAATCTAAGCCCGGTTTCCATGTAAGCTAAGGTTGACTCGACTGTGCAACAAAAACACTCTTCAGTAGAACTCTGAGCTGTCGGTCGGTGGGAAACCCGGTGCCACTGGTTTCCATGTTAATGAATTCAGTCGTGTGTCTAAAACAGGAAAGGTTTGTTTTATTTCCAGTGAGACGGTGAAAGGTTGGTTCTGTTTGTTTGACGGTGCTGGTCCTGATGGTTCTGCTCCTCTGTGCCTCTCCCAGTCAGCCGCCGGCGTCTCCCAGCACGCAGGAGGCCATTCAGGGCATGCTGTCCATGGCCAACCTGTCCTCCTCGGACACCCTGGAGCAGCCCTGGAGCAACAGCCAGTCCAAGAGCAACTCGCAGAGCCTGCAGGCGTACAAGAAGAGCGGCGGGGCCACCGGCGGCGTCGGCAAGACGTCCAATAAGAGGCTGCCGAAGAAACCCAGGAAGAGCAGCAGCATGGAGAGCCTGGACTACGACGACGACGAGCAGGACCACATGGACGCCTGCTTCAAGGACTCGGATTACGGTGAGCAGGAGAGACGACTGACAGAGCTGGTCTGGAATCCTGGGCCTCCTGGTATCGTCTTCAGGGAACAGATGGTACCAGGCAAGATTGTAGATCTTTCCTCTCTGCTGCTGAAGCTTTCATTTGGTGTAGATCAGAGGAGCTGATGTTTAGCGTTAGCGTGTCTTCTACAAATGTTCTCCGTAGTGCTGCTCTGTGAACCCGGTCCAAACGCAGCCGGCTTGTTAGGAAGCCATTAACACTCCATGGACCTGTTGATTAGAGGCCAATTAGCAGCAGCATTCCTGCAGTGGAAGCCTGAGTCTGGGCCGGTGCCAGGCTTGGTTCTGATTCTGTAAACAGCCCATTCTTTATCCTGATCCGCTAACTGTCACACAGGGAGTCTAGATTGGAAGGATTGTGCCCTGAAACGGCTGAAAGCAGGACGGCGCCAACAGCTGCTCCACAGCTGTCCTTTCGAAAACACGCCGCTGCGTGTCACACAACATGTTACAGAAAACGCTCACATGTCACAGAACATACAACCCTGTGATTGGGAAAAACATTGGGGAAAACTTCTCCACACGGTGGAGAACACGTCTGCTCAGGAGAAGGAAAGCATGAAACAACACTGAGCAAAGGATTCAAATATATTTAGAGAGAAACATGAAGGGAAATTTCCATTCAATTAGGTTTAATAAAAACTGTCTTCAACTGATAATATTTTAGCTTGAAAATGTTCATTTGGATTATCGTTAAAATCAAAATGAAAATCCCTTAGCATAGCAAAAAAGCAACAAAAAAATGTAGCTCTATGAATATCTAAAAGATCAAATACAACTTTTATTTGAAATATTAGGTCAATAAGCATTCATAATTTAGGAACTTTACATATTTTTGACTTAATTTAAGTGAAAATTACTTCTTTCTATAAAATCAGAATTAGAACTGAAGAAAAACTGATAAATTCAGCTGTAAAAAAGTATATATTTTTTGAATTTAAAAGAAAAAAAAACATTTAGCAGATGAAAACTGGGATCCTATCTCAATACCACTGAAGCTATCACCTTATTGTTTTTAAATAATTAGTAAAACAGAATTGGTAAAGAAAATAGATCCAAAGGAGGCATCAGTAACCATGTCTGTTCCAGTGCAGATCATCAGTAGAATTTCTTAGAATATTATGTCTTCAGTACAGGATATGATTTACAGGGGCACTGGCCCCCGTTGGCCCTTGTCTAGAACCACCTATGCATGCACAAAGAAGGTTACTGGTTCAACTCCTGTCCCTGGGGTGTGTCTCTGTTTGCATCTTCTCCCAGTGCATGGTGGGTTCTCTCTGGTTAACTCTAAATGGTCCTTAGGTGTGAGTGTGATGCTGCGTTCTCACCGAAGGCTTTCTGGGCCTCAAGAATATTCAAACGCAGAAAATCTGGACACTGGATCAAACTGTGGTCCAGCTGCTTTGCTGCTCGCCGCTCTGGTTGTTTATCTGCTCTGTTCTGTAGCTTCCAGCTAGAGAGCAGCTCAGATTGACTTTATGAGTTAGAAAAATAGGATTTTAAGTGAGAAAGTCCACCTCCAAACATCCTCTGTTCATCAGTTCACCAGGATTATAATCTCACTATAATCTGCAGTTCTTGTTGAAAGCTCCAGACCTCCAACGCTGGAAATCCCCGCTGAAAGCTCTCTGCCTGTGGGGGATTTCCTGCTGCCGTTCGTAGCGGCTGGAGGTCGAAAGAGTTTTTAAGGTTTGAGGTTTAAACTGCAAGAACCAGAATATATAATACAATATTTTTCATCGGCAGGTTATAAAATTTCTAGTTATTGTGGGTATTTATAAACTGTTTCTCCATTGTTTATAAAAAGTGTTTTATTTCAACAACAATGGTAAATGGCATGTACTTATATGGCGCCTTTATTCAAGTCAGGAGACTTGACCAAAGCGCTTTACACTACATTCATTAACGCACACATTCACACACTGATGGTGGCAGGCTACATTGTAGCCACAGCTGCCCTGGGGCTCACTGACAGAAGCGGGGCTGCCGTACACTGGCGCCACCGGGCCCTCTGACCACCATCAGTAGACAATGCAGGTGAAGTGTCTTGCCCAAGGACACAACGACAATGAAATCCTTCGATTTCAGGGCAAACTCCTACATCCAACGCCACTGTCGGCCAATAATGATCAGAGCTGCTCTCTGTTCCTTCAACATAACATTCTACCTGCTTTATTTTAACCTTTGGAGTTAACTCCTTCATATTTATTGAGTTTTCATCTTCAGAAGCGTTGACAGCTTGCAGATAGAGTCTTTCTCCCCCAGAAAAGTCCTGGATCACCTTTTCTGATTGGTTAATTGGTCAACTCCAGCATCAAACGCTGGGATGCTCCGCTGGACCCCTCCACGCCACCCTCCCATAGACTTTGCATGTAAAGCAGGAGAAGCTGGATGGAAGTTAGAGTTGTTATCATCATAGCTAGTACGTCAGTCCTGTACTAGCTATAGCAAAAGAGTTACAGAGAACATGATTTAATATCTCAGAACACGCTCCACATGTTAATGTTTCCAGGAGGGCTGCAGTTTTCCCTTACATGCTTTACATGTTAGATGTAACTGTCCACATCAGAGAACACGCTCCACATGTTGGAGAAGACACCTCTGAATGTGCAGAAGAACTCCCATCCTGTCAGACAGAGGCTCTGAATCCGTCACCTTCTGTATTACAGTTTACCCGTCCTTGGAGTCTGAAGAGGACAATCCTGTTTTCAAATCCAGATCCAAGAAGCGGAAAAGCAGCGATGACACGCCGTACAGTCCTACAGGTAACCGCCACCTCCGTTCCTTCCTGCTTTCCTCCATCTTCCACATCCTAAAGCGGATCTCGTTGCAGCGCGCGTCGGACCTTCAGTTCCTCGGCATGAGCGACCGGCCAGAGAGGGGGCCCGCGTGGCCTCCATTGAAACGGGCCTGGCTGCAGCAGCGGCCAAGCTTTCTCATCAGGTAGGTCCATCTGGACGGCGGTCATAGAGGAGCTCCAACTCCAGAAGAATAATCACATGTCATGTGTCTGCAGGAGGAGCAGCAAAGAACCAAGAAGAAGAAGAAAAGCACCAAGAAAAAGAGCATCATAGTGGAGGAGCTGCCAAAACACTCTCAGGACAGCAGCTCCCCGGATCATAATGCCGACTCCCAGGACGGCAGCCTGACGGACCACGAGTTCGGCCCCGGAGCCGTCAAGTCTCCAGGAGGGGCGCAGCCCATGGCACCGGGGATCTTCCTCAGCCAGAGGCGGCCGTCCGTGTCTTCTCCCAACAACAGCACCAACTCGTCTAGTACCAACAGCAGCAGCACAGCCAAGGGGGACCGCCTGGGCACCACAGACGCCAAAGGTCCAAACCCCCTGCTTTCTTTTGCTGTTTAGCTTCAGTTTAGCTTTAGACCGGGTGAGTCTGACTCTTTAGACCGGGTGAGGCTGACTCTTTAGACCGGGTGAGTCTGACTCTTTAGACCGGGTGAGGCTGACTCTTTAGACCGGGTGAGTCTGACTCTTTAGACCGGATGAGTCTGACTCTTTAGACCGGGTGAGTCTGACTCTTTAGACCGGGTGAGGCTGACTCTTTAGACCGGGTGAGTCTGACTCTTTAGACCGGATGAGTCTGACTCTTTAGACCGGATGAGTCTGACTCTTTAGACGGGGTGAGTCTGACTCTTTAGACTGGGTGAGTCTGACTCTTTAGACGGGGGGAGTCTGACTCTTTAGACGGGGTGAGTCTGACTCTTTAGACCGGGTGTGTCTGACTCTTTAGACTGGGTGAGTCTGACTCTTTAGACGGGGGGAGTCTGACTCTTTAGACCGGGTGAGTCTGACTCTTTAGACCGGGTGAAGCTGACGCTAGACGGGGTGAGGCTGACTCTTTAGACCGGGTGAGGCTGACTCTTTAGACTGGGTGAGTCTGACTCTTTAGACCGGGTGAGTCTGAATCTTTAGACGGGGGGAGTCTGACTCTTTAGACGGGGTGAGTCTGACTCTTTAGACTGGGTGAGTCTGACTCTTTAGACCGGGTGAGGCTGACTCTTTAGACGGGGTGAGTCTGACTCTTTAGACGGGGTGAAGCTGACTCTTTAGACCGGGTTAAGCTGACGCTAGACGGGGTGAGGCTGACTCTTTAGACCGGTTGAGTCTGACTCTTTAGACCGGGTGAGGCTGACTCTTTAGACGGGGTGAGGCTGACTCTTTAGACGAGGTGAGTCTGACTCTTTAGATGGGGTGAGTCTGACTCTTTAGACCGGGTGAGTCTGACTCTTTAGACCGGGTGAGGCTGACTCTTTAGACCGGTTGAGTCTGACTCTTTAGACCGGGTGAGGCTGACTCTTTAGACGGGGTGAGGCTGACTCTTTAGACGAGGTGAGTCTGACTCTTTAGATGGGGTGAGTCTGACTCTTTAGACCGGGTGAGTCTGACTCTTTAGACCAGGTGAGGCTGACTCTTTAGACGGGGTGAGTCTGACTCTTTAGACCGGGTGAGTCTGACTCTTTAGACCGGGTGAGGCTGACTCTTTAGACGGGGTGAGTCTGACTCTTTAGACCGGGTGAGTCTGACTCTTTAGACGGGGTGAGGCTGACTCTTTAGAACAGGTGAGTCTGACTCTTTAGACGGGGTGAGTCTGACTCTTTAGATGGGGTGAGGCTGACTCTTTAGACCAGGTGAGTCTGACTCTTTAGACGGGGTGAAGCTGACTTTAAACGGGTGAAGCTGACTTTAGACGGGGTGAGGCTGACTCTTTAGATGGGGTGAGGCTGACTCTTTAGACGGGGTGAAGCTGACTCTTTAGACGGGGTGAAGCTGACTCTTTAGACCGGGTGAGTCTGACTCTTTAGACGGGGTGAAGCTGACTCTTTAGACGGGGTGAAGCTGACTTTTTAGACCGGGTGAGTCTGACTCTTTAGACCGGGTGAGTCTGACTCTTTAGACGGGGTGAGGCTGACTTTAAACGGGAGAAGCTGACTTTAGACGGGGTGAGGCTGACTCTTTAGATGGGGTGAGGCTGACTCTTTAGATGGGGTGAGGCTGACTCTTTAGATGGGGTGAGGCTGACTCTTTAGACGGGGTGAAGCTGACTCTTTAGACAGGGGTGAAGCTGACTCTTTAGACCGGGTGAGGCTCACTCTTTAGACCGGGTGAGTCTGACTCTTTAGACCGGGTGAGGCTGACTCTTTAGACCGGGTGAGTCTGACTCTTTAGACCGGATGAGTCTGACTCTTTAGACCGGGTGAGTCTGACTCTTTAGACCGGGTGAGGGTGACTCTTTAGACCGGGTGAGTCTGACTCTTTAGACCGGATGAGTCTGACTCTTTAGACCGGATGAGTCTGACTCTTTAGACGGGGTGAGTCTGACTCTTTAGACCGGGTGTGTCTGACTCTTTAGACTGGGTGAGTCTGACTCTTTAGACGGGGGGAGTCTGACTCTTTAGACGGGGTGAGTCTGACTCTTTAGACCGGGTGTGTCTGACTCTTTAGACTGGGTGAGTCTGACTCTTTAGACCGGATGAGTCTGACTCTTTAGACGGGGTGAGTCTGACTCTTTAGACTGGGTGAGTCTGACTCTTTAGACGGGGTGAGGCTGACTCTTTAGACGGGGTGAGTCTGACTCTTTAGACCGGGTGTGTCTGACTCTTTAGACTGGGTGAGTCTGACTCTTTAGACGGGGGGAGTCTGACTCTTTAGACCGGGTGAGTCTGACTCTTTAGACCGGGTGAAGCTGACGCTAGACGGGGTGAGGCTGACTCTTTAGACCGGGTGAGGCTGACTCTTTAGACTGGGTGAGTCTGACTCTTTAGACCGGGTGAGTCTGAATCTTTAGACGGGGGGAGTCTGACTCTTAAGACGGGGTGAGTCTGACTCTTTAGACTGGGTGAGTCTGACTCTTTAGACCGGGTGAGGCTGACTCTTTAGACGGGGTGAGTCTGACTCTTTAGACGGGGTGAAGCTGACTCTTTAGACCGGGTTAAGCTGACGCTAGACGGGGTGAGGCTGACTCTTTAGACCGGTTGAGTCTGACTCTTTAGACCGGGTGAGGCTGACTCTTTAGACGGGGTGAGGCTGACTCTTTAGATGAGGTGAGTCTGACTCTTTAGATGGGGTGAGTCTGACTCTTTAGACCGGGTGAGTCTGACTCTTTAGACCGGGTGAGGCTGACTCTTTAGACCGGTTGAGTCTGACTCTTTAGACCCGGTGAGGCTGACTCTTTAGACGGGGTGAGGCTGACTCTTTAGACGAGGTGAGTCTGACTCTTTAGATGGGGTGAGTCTGACTCTTTAGACCGGGTGAGTCTGACTCTTTAGACCAGGTGAGGCTGACTCTTTAGACGGGGTGAGTCTGACTCTTTAGACCGGGTGAGTCTGACTCTTTAGACCGGGTGAGGCTGACTCTTTAGACGGGGTGAGTCTGACTCTTTAGACCGGGTGAGTCTGACTCTTTAGACGGGGTGAGGCTGACTCTTTAGAACAGGTGAGTCTGACTCTTTAGACGGGGTGAGTCTGACTCTTTAGACGGGGTGAGGCTGACTCTTTAGACCAGGTGAGTCTGACTCTTTAGACGGGGTGAAGCTGACTTTAAACGGGTGAAGCTGACTTTAGACGGGGTGAGGCTGACTCTTTAGATGGGGTGAGGCTGACTCTTTAGACGGGGTGAAGCTGACTCTTTAGACGGGGTGAAGCTGACTCCTTAGACCGGGTGAGTCTGACTCTTTAGACGGGGTGAAGCTGACTCTTTAGACGGGGTGAAGCTGACTTTTTAGACCGGGTGAGTCTGACTCTTTAGACCGGGTGAGTCTGACTCTTTAGACGGGGTGAGGCTGACTTTAAACGGGAGAAGCTGACTTTACACGGGGTGAGGCTGACTCTTTAGATGGGGTGAGGCTGACTCTTTAGATGGGGTGAGGCTGACTCTTTAGATGGGGTGAGGCTGACTCTTTAGACGGGGTGAAGCTGACTCTTTAGACGGGGTGAAGCTGACTCTTTAGACCGGGTGAGGCTCACTCTTTAGACCGGGTGAGTCTGACTCTTTAGACCGGGTGAGGCTGACTCTTTAGACCGGGTGAGTCTGACTCTTTAGACCGGATGAGTCTGACTCTTTAGACCGGGTGAGTCTGACTCTTTAGACCGGGTGAGGCTGACTCTTTAGACCGGGTGAGTCTGACTCTTTAGACCGGATGAGTCTGACTCTTTAGACTGGATGAGTCTGACTCTTTAGACGGGGTGAGTCTGACTCTTTAGACCGGGTGTGTCTGACTCTTTAGACTGGGTGAGTCTGACTCTTTAGACGGGGGGAGTCTGACTCTTTAGACGGGGTGAGTCTGACTCTTTAGACCGGGTGTGTCTGACTCTTTAGACTGGGTGAGTCTGACTCTTTAGACGGGGGGAGTCTGACTCTTTAGACCGGGTGAGTCTGACTCTTTAGACCGGGTGAAGCTGACGCTAGACGGGGTGAGGCTGACTCTTTAGACCGGGTGAGGCTGACTCTTTAGACTGGGTGAGTCTGACTCTTTAGACCGGGTGAGTCTGAATCTTTAGACGGGGGGAGTCTGACTCTTTAGACGGGGTGAGTCTGACTCTTTAGACTGGGTGAGTCTGACTCTTTAGACCGGGTGAGTCTGACTCTTTAGACCGGGTGAGTCTGACTCTTTAGACGGGGTGAGTCTGACTCTTTAGACGGGGTGAGTCTGACTCTTTAGACGGGGTGAGTCTGACTCTTTAGACCGGGTGAGGCTGACTCTTTAGACGGGGTGAGTCTGACTCTTTAGACGGGGTGAAGCTGACTCTTTAGACCGGGTTAAGCTGACCCTAGACGGGGTGAGGCTGACTCTTTAGACCGGTTGAGTCTGACTCTTTAGACCGGGTGAGGCTGACTCTTTAGACGGGGTGAGGCTGACTCTTTAGACGGGGTGAGGCTGACTCTTTAGACGAGGTGAGTCTGACTCTTTAGATGGGGTGAGTCTGACTCTTTAGACCGGGTGAGTCTGACTCTTTAGACGGGGTGAGGCTGACTCTTTAGAACAGGTGAGTCTGACTCTTTAGACGGGGTGAGTCTGACTCTTTAGACGGGGTGAGGCTGACTCTTTAGACCAGGTGAGTCTGACTCTTTAGACGGGGTGAAGCTGACTTTAAACGGGTGAAGCTGACTTTAGACGGGGTGAGGCTGACTCTTTAGATGGGGTGAGTCTGACTCTTTAGACCGGGTGAGTCTGACTCTTTAGACGGGGTGAGGCTGACTCTTTAGAACAGGTGAGTCTGACTCTTTAGACGGGGTGAGTCTGACTCTTTAGACGGGGTGAGGCTGACTCTTTAGACCAGGTGAGTCTGACTCTTTAGACGGGGTGAAGCTGACTTTAAACGGGTGAAGCTGACTCTTTAGACGAGGTGAGTCTGACTCTTTAGATGGGGTGAGTCTGACTCTTTAGACCGGGTGAGTCTGACTCTTTAGACGGGGTGAGGCTGACTCTTTAGAACAGGTGAGTCTGACTCTTTAGACGGGGTGAGTCTGACTCTTTAGACGGGGTGAGGCTGACTCTTTAGACCAGGTGAGTCTGACTCTTTAGACGGGGTGAAGCTGACTTTAAACGGGTGAAGCTGACTTTAGACGGGGTGAGGCTGACTCTTTAGATGGGGTGAGGCTGACTCTTTAGACGGGGTGAAGCTGACTCTTTAGACGGGGTGAAGCTGACTCTTTAGACCGGGTGAGTCTGACTCTTTAGACGGGGTGAAGCTGACTCTTTAGACGGGGTGAAGCTGACTCTTTAGACCGGGTGAGTCTGACTCTTTAGACCGGGTGAGTCTGACTCTTTAGACGGGGTGAGGCTGACTTTAAACGGGAGAAGCTGACTTTAGACGGGGTGAGGCTGACTCTTTAGATGGGGTGAGGCTGACTCTTTAGATGGGGTGAGGCTGACTCTTTAGACGGGGTGAAGCTGACTCTTTAGACGGGGTGAAGCTGACTCTTTAGACGGGGTGAAGCTGACTCTTTAGACCGGGTGAGGCTCACTCTTTAGACGGGGTGAAGCTGATTTTAAACGGGTGAAGCTGACTCTTTAGACGGGGTTAGGCTGACTCTTTAGACCGGGTGAGGCTGATTCTTTAGACGGGGTGAGTCTATCTCTTTAGACGGGGTGAAGCTGACTCTTTAGACGGGGTGAGTCTGACTCTTTAGACCGGGTGAGTCTGACTCTTTAGACGGGGTGAGTTTGACTCTTTAGACCGGGTGAGTCTGACTCTTTAGACGGGGTGAGTATGACTCTTTAGACGGGGTGAGTCTGAATCTTTAGTCGAGGTGAGTCTGACTCTTTAGACCGGGTGAAGCTGACTTTAGACCGGGTGAAGCTGACTTTAGACGGGGTGAGGCTGACTCTTTAGACGGGGTGAGTCTGACTCTTTAGACGGGGTGAGTCTGACTATTTAGACGGGGTGAGTCTGACTCTTATGCGGGGTGAGTCTGAATCTTTAGACGGGGTGAGGCTGACTTTAGACGGGGTGAGGCTGACTCTTTAGACAGGGTGAGTCTGACTCTTTAGACGGGGTGAAGCTGACTCTTTAGACCGGGTGAGGCTGACTCTTTAGACGAGGTGAGTCTGACTCTAGGTGAGGCTGACTCTTTAAACGGGGTGAGTCTGACTCTTTAGACGGGGTGAGTTTTACTCTTTAGACGGGGTGAGTCTGACTCTTTAGACGGGGTGAGGCTGACTCTTTAGACCGGGTGAGGCTGACTCTTTAGACGAGGTGAGTCTGACTCTAGGTGAGGCTGACTCTTTAAACGGGGTGAGTCTGACTCTTTAGACGGGGTGAGTTTGACTCTTTAGACGGGGTGAGACTGACTCTTTAGACAGGGTGATTCTGACTCTTTAAACGGGGTGAGTCTGACTCTTTAGACGGGGTGAGTATGACTCTTTAGACGGGGTGAGTCTGAATCTTTAGTCGAGGTGAGTCTGACTCTTTAGACCGGGTGAAGCTGACTTTAGACCGGGTGAAGCTGACTTTAGACGGGGTGAGGCTGACTCTTTAGACGGGGTGAGTCTGACTCTTTAGACGGGGTGAGTCTGACTATTTAGACGGGGAGAGTCTGACTCTTATGCGGGGTGAGTCTGAATCTTTAGACGGGGTGGTGCTGACTTTAGACGGGGTGAGGCTGACTCTTTAGACAGGGTGAGTCTGACTCTTTAGACGGGGTGAGTCTGACTCTTTAGACGGGGTGAGGCTGACTCTTTAGACCGGGTGAGGCTGACTCTTTAGACGAGGTGAGTCTGACTCTAGGTGAGGCTGACTCTTTAAACGGGGTGAGTCTGACTCTTTAGACGGGGTGAGTTTGACTCTTTAGACGGGGTGAGACTGACTCTTTAGACAGGGTGATTCTGACTCTTTAAACGGGGTGAGTCTGACTCTTTAGACGGGGTGAGTCTGACTCTTTAGACGGGGTGAGTCTGACTCTTTAGACGGGGTGAGTTTGACTCTTTAGACGGGGTGAGTCTGACTCTTTAGACAAGGTGATTCTGACTCTTTAAACGGGATGAGTCTGACTCTTTAGACGGGGTGAGTCTGAATCTTTAGACGGGGTGAGTTTGACTCTTTAGACGGGGTGAGACTGACTCTTTAGACAAGGTGATTCTGACTCTTTAAACGGGATGAGTCTGACTCTTTAGACGGGGTGAGTCTGACTCTTTAGACGGGGTGAGTCTGACTCTTTAGACAGGGTGATTCTGACTCTTTAAACGGGGTGAGTCTGACTCTTTAGACAGGGTGAGTCTGACTCTTTAGACGGGGTGAGTCTGACTCTTTAGACGGGTTGAGTTTGACTCTTTAGACAGGGTGATTCTGACTCTTTAAACGGGGTGAGTCTGACTCTTTAGACAGGGTGAGTCTGACTCTTTAGACGGGCTGAGTCTGACTCTTTAGACGGGGTGATTCTGACTCTTTAGACGGGGTGAGTCTGACTCTTTAGACGGGTTGAGTCTGACTCTTTAGACGGGGTGAGTCTGACTCTTTAGACGGGATGAGTCTGACTCTTTAGACGGGTTGAGTTTGACTCTTTAGACGGGGTGAGTTTGACTCTTTAGACGGGGTGAGTCTGACTCTTTAGACGTGGTGAGTCTGACTCTTTAGACGGGGTGAGTCTGACTCTTTAGACCGGATGAGGCTGACTCTTTAGACGGGGTGAGTCTGACTCTTTAGACCGGATGAGGCTGACTCTTTAGACCGGGTGATGCTGACTCTTTAGACCGGGTGAGGCTGACTCTTTAGACGGGGTGAGTCTGACTCTTTAGACAGGGTGATTCTGACTCTTTAAACGTGGTGAGTCTGACTCTTTAGACAGGGTGAGTCTGACTCTTTAGACGGGGTGAGTCTGACTCTTTAGACGGGTTGAGTTTGACTCTTTAGACAGGGTGATTCTGACTCTTTAAACGGGGTGAGTCTGACTCTTTAGACAGGGTGAGTCTGACTCTTTAGACGGGCTGAGTCTGACTCTTTAGACGGGGTGATTCTGACTCTTTAGACGGGGTGAGTCTGACTCTTTAGACGGGTTGAGTCTGACTCTTTAGACGGGGTGAGTCTGACTCTTTAGACGGGATGAGTCTGACTCTTTAGACGGTTTGAGTTTGACTCTTTAGACGGGGTGAGTTTGACTCTTTAGACGGGGTGAGTCTGACTCTTTAGACGTGGTGAGTCTGACTCTTTAGACGGGGTGAGTCTGACTCTTTAGACGGGGTGAGTTTGACTCTTTAGAAGGGGTGAGACTTACTCTTTAGACAGGGTGATTCTGACTCTTTAAACGGGGTGAGTCTGACTCTTTAGACGGGGTGAGTCTGACTCTTTAGACGGGGTGAGTCTGACTCTTTAGACGGGGTGAGTTTGACTCTTTAGACGGGGTGAGTCTGACTCTTTAGACAAGGTGATTCTGACTCTTTAAACGGGATGAGTCTGACTCTTTAGACGGGGTGAGTCTGAATCTTTAGACGGGGTGAGTTTGACTCTTTAGACGGGGTGAGACTGACTCTTTAGACAAGGTGATTCTGACTCTTTAAACGGGATGAGTCTGACTCTTTAGACGGGGTGAGTCTGACTCTTTAGACGGGGTGAGTCTGACTCTTTAGACAGGGTGATTCTGACTCTTTAAACGGGGTGAGTCTGACTCTTTAGACAGGGTGAGTCTGACTCTTTAGACGGGGTGAGTCTGACTCTTTAGACGGGTTGAGTTTGACTCTTTAGACAGGGTGATTCTGACTCTTTAAACGGGGTGAGTCTGACTCTTTAGACAGGGTGAGTCTGACTCTTTAGACGGGCTGAGTCTGACTCTTTAGACGGGGTGATTCTGACTCTTTAGACGGGGTGAGTCTGACTCTTTAGACGGGTTGAGTCTGACTCTTTAGACGGGGTGAGTCTGACTCTTTAGACGGGATGAGTCTGACTCTTTAGACGGGTTGAGTTTGACTCTTTAGACGGGGTGAGTTTGACTCTTTAGACGGGGTGAGTCTGACTCTTTAGACGTGGTGAGTCTGACTCTTTAGACGGGGTGAGTCTGACTCTTTAGACCGGATGAGGCTGACTCTTTAGACGGGGTGAGTCTGACTCTTTAGACCGGATGAGGCTGACTCTTCAGACCGGGTGATGCTGACTCTTTAGACCGGGTGAGGCTGACTCTTTAGACGGGGTGAGTCTGACTCTTTAGACAGGGTGATTCTGACTCTTTAAACGTGGTGAGTCTGACTCTTTAGACAGGGTGAGTCTGACTCTTTAGACGGGGTGAGTCTGACTCTTTAGACGGGTTGAGTTTGACTCTTTAGACAGGGTGATTCTGACTCTTTAAACGGGGTGAGTCTGACTCTTTAGACAGGGTGAGTCTGACTCTTTAGACGGGCTGAGTCTGACTCTTTAGACGGGGTGATTCTGACTCTTTAGACCGGGTGAGTCTGACTCTTTAGACGGGTTGAGTCTGACTCTTTAGACGGGGTGAGTCTGACTCTTTAGACGGGATGAGTCTGACTCTTTAGACGGTTTGAGTTTGACTCTTTAGACGGGGTGAGTTTGACTCTTTAGACGGGGTGAGTCTGACTCTTTAGACGTGGTGAGTCTGACTCTTTAGACGGGGTGAGTCTGACTCTTTAGACCGGATGAGGCTGACTCTTTAGACCGGGTGATGCTGACTCTTTAGACCGGGTGAGGCTGACTCTTTAGACGGGGTGAGTCTGACTCTTTAGACGGGGTGAGTCTGACTATGGGTCTGTAATTTCAGATCCTGCTTGAAGTGTCTCTTCATTTGGTCAGTTGGACCTTGGATCTAACTTCCTGTTTTGTTTCCATCTCTCCACAGCTAAGCGGCTAAAGAAAGGAATGGCAACAGCCAAACAGAGACTTGGAAAGATCCTGAAGATCCATCGAAACGGGAAGCTCCTCCTGTAGCATGCAGCGGTTCAGGGACCGGCTCCCATCCCAGAGTCAACCTGCTCACCTAGAAAAGCCAACAATGGGAGTTTATGAAAAAAAACTTACTGAAACTCTATGGGAGAGAAGGAAAATCATGCATTTTTCAATTTCTAAGAAGAACATCACTCAGATAGGTTTTTGCCTCTACTTATACTTTATAACTTTCAGATATTAAAGTGTACAGAAGCTATTATAAATATTTTTTAAGAGAACATGTCTCATTTTACTACAGCTGTCATTTTATCAGGGGTTGTTCAATAGAAGTACATTGCAGTCATTCCAAGATCCATGGAAGTATCCCCAGCATGTTCTGTGTGCTTTGGGTGGCGCTCCTGATGTGGTTACAGCTCTATGTCTGCGCTGTGACTGGATCTAGGTTCAGCTCTTGGTCCTTGTCCAGGTTTGGGTCCAGGATCTTGGTCTTGGGTTGTCCTGGGTCGGGGATCCAGCCTCTCATCACCAAACTGAGGTCAAAGGTTCCTGAGGCATCCGATCGGATCAGCGCCGAGCCCCATCAGGGGCGGCTTTATTTATTCTAGTCTTTAGGTAGGAAAGGAGAAGCACAGGATCAGAACCGATGTCCAACGCACACGAGGACGCAGCGGATCGGCGGGGGAAGTGACAGAGCAGCGTCGCCATGGTGATACTTCCTGTCTGCTTCTCTTTCCCAGGCAGCACCACCGCCCTGCTCCACTCTAGAGACTTTTTCTATCCTTTTTCGCTCCAGAATCTTTTTACTTATTTCGAATAATGTAAATCGAAAAGCGTCTAAGTGGGTTTGCAACCCGATGACGTTGTGTTTCTGTATTTTTATTTGCTGGCTGTGGCGGTGCTGCCTGGAAACGGACAGGAAATGAGCAACATGTTGTCGTCATATGGCCTTACATACACAAAGCTAACTGTATTGTGATTCTGTTTGAACAAGAAACGAAGCTTTGAGGAAAAACTGTAGTAAAGGAAAAAAGTTTCTGACCAGCCTCTTGTTCGACTTCTAGTATCCTGAAGGTTTCAGAATTATTTTACTAGCACCTTGTGAAGTGTTTCTGTGTCGGTGATGTAATTTATTAATGTTTGTAGCTTTTTTATACTTGTACAATTCTTAAGAGGTTTGCTTTGGAATATGTTGTGAAATGACCCTTTAATTTGGTTATTCTGTGCGATGATGCGTTTGATGATGCGTTTGATGATGCGTGTGTGCGTGCGTGCGTGCGTGTGTGTGTCGGAGGCATCGCATCAGACTCCCGCCCTGTGCCATCAAACATGCGTCCATCACGTTTCCCCTCCTCCGCTCTCAGGACGTCGTCTCAGAAAAGACTTTTGTCCTTCAGCTTTTCTTTGTACAGTCCATGTGTTGCTTGGTTGTGATTTATTTTTCTATGTCTGACTCATTAAATGCATCCACTGTTCCCCGGCAGTGAATCCTACCCGCCGTCTTCCCTTCTTCTTCCTTAGTAAAACACCCACAGCCTTTCTAACCTGAAGCTCTGCTTGTTTATTTCTAAGATGTGGAGAAATGACTTCCTGTGGAAAAACCTCATTGTGACGCATGATTTGTCACAAGTAGAACTAAACAGCCCCACCTTGCTGACTCCGCCCAAACAGGCAGAACATTATGACCACTAAAAGCTGCCTGGATAACACAAGCAGCCTGTGGACCAACTGAAGGTTCTCCAAAGGAGGGGGAACCTGAAGGAGGGGGGGCTCTGAAGAAGGAGGTTCCCCGAAGGTGGGGGGTTCTTTGAAGGAAGGGGGCGCCTAAAGGAGGCGATCTCTGAAGGAAAGGGGCTCTCTGTAGGTGGCGGTTTACCAAAGGAGCTGTGTGCTTCTGTTCTCCCCGAGTCCAGACCTTCTGGGTTCTAGTCAAGAATGGACTTGGAGAGAACACGAGTCCAAGTCAAGCACGGACTTGGAGAGAACACGAGTCCAAGTCAAGCACGGACTTGGAGATAACACGAGTCCAAGTCAAGAACGGACTTGGAGAGAACACGAGTCCAAGTCAAGAACGGACTTTGAGAGAACACGAGTCCAAGTCAAGAACGGACTTTGAGAGAACACGAGTCCAAGTCAAGCACGGACTTTGAGAGAACACGAGTCCAAGTCAAGCACGGACTTTGAGAGAACACGAGTCCAAGTCAAGAACGGACTTGGAGAGAACACGAGTCCATACTCGTGTTCTTGTGAAATGAGAAACGGCCATTGGGTAAAAATGTTTGCACCCTAGGGCGTAAATACAGTACGTCACCACTCCGACGAAAAATTGAGTGATTCTTTACTCGTCATTGAAGATGAAATATTTATCTTGCAAATCTAGGACATGCATATATATATATATACACTATATTGCCAAAAGTATTTGCTCACCTGCCTTGACTCACATATGAGCTTAAGTGACATCCCGTTCCTAATCCATAGGGTTCAATATGACGTCGGTCCACCCTTTGCAGCTAGAACAGCTTCAACTCTTCTGGGAAGGCTGTCCACAAGGTTTAGGAGTGTGTTTATGGGAATTTTTGACCATTCTTCCAGAAGCGCATTTGTGAGGTCGCACACTGATGTTGGACGAGAAGGCCTGGCTCTCAGTCTCCGCTCTAATTCATCCCAAAGGTGTTCTATCGGGTTGAGGTCAGGACTCTGTGCAGGCCAGTCAAGTTCATCCACACCAGACTCTGTCATCCATGTCTTTATGGACCTTGCTTTGTGCACTGGTGCACAGTCATGTTGGAAGAGGAAGGGGCCAGCTCCAAACTGTTCCCACAAAGTTGGGAGCATGGAATTGTCCAAAATGTCTTGGTATGCTGAAGCATTCAGAGTTCCTTTCACTGGAACTAAGGGGCCAAGCCCAGCTCCTGAAAAACAACCTCACACCATAATCCCCCCTCCACCAAACTTTACACTTGGCACAATGCAGTCAGACAAGTACCGTTCTCCTGGCAACCGCCAAACCCAGACCCGTCCATCAGATTGCCAGATGGAGAAGCGCGATTCGTCACTCCAGAGAACGCGTCTCCACTGCTCTAGAGTCCAGTGGCGGCGTGCTTTACACCACCGCATCCGACGCTTTGCATTGCACTTGGTGATGTATGGCTTGGATGCAGCTGCTCGACCATGGAAACCCATTCCATGAAGCTCTCTGCGCACTGTTCTTAAGCTAATCTGAAGGCCACATGAAGTTTGGAGGTCTGTAGTGATTGACTCTGCAGAAAGTTGGCGACCTCTTCGCACTATGCGCGTCAGCATCCGCTGACCCCGCTCCGTCAGTTTACGTGGCCTACCTCTTCGTGGCTGAGTTGCTGTCGTTCCCAAACACTTCCATTTTCTTATAATACAGCTGACAGTTGACTGTGGAATATTTAGGAGCGAGGAAATTTCACGACTGGATTTGTTGCACAGGTGGCATCCTATCACAGTTCCACGCTGGAATTCACTGAGCTCCTGAGAGCGACCCATTCTTTCACAAATGTTTGTAAAAACAGTCTGCATGCCTAGGTGCTTGAATTTATACACCTGTGGCCATGGAAGTGATTGGAACACCTGATTCCAATAATTTGGATGGGTGAGCAAATACTTTTGGCAATATAGTGTATATATATATTGGGCAGGTGGGTTAAAGGCAGATAGAAGGAGGTCGATGTTCGTCCATCCAGACCACAAGCAAAGCCTTCCTGTGCAGCCAATCAGCACAGAGGAAGGATCTCTGGTTAAATCAGAGCCAGACTCTGCAGCTGATGAAGGTGATAACCAGAGGAGGAAGAGAACAGACCTGATAAGAACAGTAGGTGGATCAGAGTAATGATGCTGCTGCAGATGGAAAGAAACTCTGATGCTTGATGAAACTCAGCTCCAGTTAATGATCCTGAAGGAACTTTGAGGCTCCAGCTCATGTTAGGCAGCAGGTTTCCTAACATTTTAAAGCTGCTCCTCTTCCTTCTCCTGCATCGTGTTCCACATAAAGATCAGATCTGCCACACAGTTCAAGATGGCGGCTCCCTATAAGATGCATATAAAACCAGGATAAAAGTAATGAATGCACTAATTGGCTGCACTCTTCACATGAACATAAGGAAACATAAACTAATTTGTTGTTCAAGAGAATTCGTTTTTTATTTTGTGTGCATGAAGGAGTCCTTTGTGGCTGAAAAAGAATATTTCTAGGAAACAAATTTATATTTTTTTGGGAAGTAATAAGTATTTTGTGAAAGATGAAATCTTTTTTTCCATGTCAGTTCCTGCACTCCATATAAAATAAATTTCAAATGTGATCAAATGAACTCTGATTAAATTATTTAATCAGTTTAATTCAAAAAGTATATTACGGAAACATCTTTTAAAGATGTAACGATGTATAAGCAGTTATGAAAAACAGTTTATTAGCTGCATGTTTCAAATGACAATGACTCTTTAAAATGATTTAAACACTGCAGCTCCTGATCAGCTGTTTACCATTTTTCTAAACATTTCTTTGGATGTTTGAATCATGCAGCATGGAAACATCCTAACATCAATGTGCTTTTATTTATGATGCAACAGTTTATTCTATGTCGTCTCTAAGCACTTTAATGATCAGTGCAATCAAATCCCGCAGACAAACTGGTCTAAACGTTTCCTCTGTAAAGAAACCCAGCAGATGCATGTTAGGCTATAAAACAGATTTAAAAATCATCACTTCCTGTTTTTGCCCAAAACTACGGAAGAGGATTAGGGCCACTGAAAAAAAATAAAAAGGAAACTGATTTTTAAATTTTATTTCAGTTTAACATGGGAAAAAAGTCAGAATTCTGAGAAAAAAGTCAGAATTCTGAGATTAAAGTCAAAATTCTGAGAAAAAAGTCAGAATTCTGAGAAAAAAGTCAGAATTCTGAGAAAAAAGTCAGAATTCTGAGATTAAAGTCAAAATTCTGAGAAAAAAGTCAGAATTCTGAGAAAAAAGTCAGAATTCTGAGATTAAAGTCAAAATTCTGAGAAAAAAGTCAGAATTCTGAGAAAAAAGTCAGAATTCTGAGAAAAAAGTCAGAATTCTGAGAAAAAAGTCAGAATTCTGAGATTAAAGTTCTGACTTTTTTCCCATACTATACTGAAAAAAAAAAAAAAAATCAATTAACTTTTTTTTTTTTTTTCCAGTGGCCCTAATCCTCTTCCGTACAAAACCAAGGCAGCAGACTGGAAAAAAATGAATTGAATTGCTTATTATTCAATATAATTATATTCATCCTTAAAGAAATGTGTTATTTTACAATGTAATTGAAGTATTGTTTAAAGGAAAGTTTACCAATTATTGGCATAGTTATTGTTTTAATGATGCATTAGATAAACAAACATTTTGTGTTTTTTAATAAATATCTTTCCCTGCATTTACCTCAGGAATCCCCCCTGGTGGCCCCCCGCTGGGTCAGTACAGAATATCTAAATGTTTACGATTCTTCACCCATGCGGATAAAAGCTGGAAGTCGTGTGGGACTCAGGTTTTATGGGATCCTAGTATCTTCAGGATTGATCTGAGTCCCATAGATCATCAGAACCACGGCTGAGGACCCGGTTAGAGAAGGTCGGTTCCCTCCAGACGAGTCCTGAACCAACATTCTCTGAATAGCCACTTAAAAAGAAGCACTGAACCCATCTCTTCCCTGGAGTCACGGCCTGGCTTGTGATTAAAGTGTTTAGCATTAAGCTAAACAAAATGAACATCTCTGCTGGATAATGTCCCCCCCCATGCATGAAGCTGGTGCTGAACTGGACAGCTCCTTCAGTGACAGACTGCTGCACCTTAAATGCACCAGGGAGCGTTATCACAGATCCTTCCTCCCAGCAGCTGGAAGACTCTAGAACCACCACTGTTCCCAACAACCTCAATCAGTTCTTCCATTCATGCTCCACTTTTATAAATACAGGTTTATAATACTGTATGATGTTTTTTTTTTTTTTTATAGTAGGCTGACAGGAAAGCAGGATGCGGCAAAGTACCACAGGTAAGATTCGAACCCGGGTCGGCTGCATCAAGGACTAAGGCCTCTATACATGTGTTGTTTGCGCTAACCACTGTGTGATTTGTTTAAATGGAAAGAAAATGCTTAAGAATTAAAAACTGTTGGGGAACCACTAGAGTAGAGGATTGCTGTTGTATTAACGAGGCTTCTTGCTAATTGATTGCTGTATTCATCCTCACAATAATCCTCCTCTGGGTTTTAGCTGCACTTGTAACATTTCAGATTTGAATACTATTGGTGGTCTGTGTTGATACAATGTGAAAGTTTAATATTAACTAAGTATTCAAGAACCCTTTGTATTACCAAGATATCATGTGCATTCCCTCAGAGAACAGGAACCTTTGGCTAGCTCTTCTTCTGTTACAACTGCTTCCTAACAGTTTATGTTATTATATAAACACTATATCTATAAATTAGAATGTCACGTGGTACAAAAGTAGATT